AGTCTGGCTCGGCCTGGAAGACACTTCCAGAAACACATGCTGCCAGGCTCCGTGGGCAGCAGTCAGCCATACTCGCACGGGCTACCTTGGTGCTGGGCGGGCCCAGTGCTGGGCTCTGGGCTGGCCTCTCTCCAGAGAGCAGGTGATCCTGCAGGATGGTGGCAACTTTCAAGAGGATGCCCCCGAGGACAGCTGCCCCCATCAATAGGCCCATGTCGCAGACCCTCAGGGTGACTGTCACAGCGGCAGCATCTCCGGGTACCTCGCACAGACACGTGGCTTTCAGAAGGCAGCCCAAGGAGTACACCTGGTGCCAACCTTTGTCCACGTCCTGCCAGGGCCCCGTGTTGAGCTTCTCCAAGGCGTAGTCCAGGAGCGCTTCGCTGGTGTGCAGACACTCGCTGGTCCGGCCCTTGTAGAGGAACTCGGCAGCCTGCTGTAGCAACACCACCACAGTCCTCTCTACCTGCTGGCCCAGGTCCAACCTCAGGCCTTCTTTCATGCGCAGCAGGAGTGCCCTGAGGGCCTCCTTGAGGATCAGACCTGTTCCCACCTGGGGGTCTCCAAGATGGCTGGAGCCTTCTGCCATCTGGCTCAGTCTCATGGGGCCTCCGGGATGGTCATGATCTCAGTAGCCAGGTCCGTGCCGAGAGCGGGAGGAGGAGAGCATGTTTTATATAATCAAGGCTTATATATACCTAGGGGGAGTGCAAGCCCCTCTGATTACAGGTAACCACATACTTAACAGCTCCCCTATCCTTCTGATATTGCTACACCCATTCCTATTCCTGGATTCCATGTGTCGTAAGCTTATTATCTGTACCTGTGCACATCCTCCAGTCAAGCCCAAAGTAAAAGGCAGTATTGCAGTCATGATAGTAGGGGGTAGGGAAGCCTCAAGGAACCAGAGGACTATTGTGTTTCATCCGTGCTTTACCGCACCCTTCCTTGTGATCCTTTTATGAGGGGATGTCCCATTGTCTACAGATGGGTTTGGGGTCTCTGCTCAAACCCCCCTAATTCTCAAGTATGGTTTTGTTTGTTTTGGGTCTTCTGATGCCGGTTACCGGTTACCCGGTCCCTTCGACACCCACCTCATGATGGCAAAGGCAGGTGTGCTTCTCAGCTAGATGGCTGCTTGTTTAACTTCAAGCCTTTAAGATCCCAGAAGCTGTATCTTTTGTTGGCTGGGCATCATCCGCTTTCTTTAACACATTGCTTATGCACCCATTTTGTCTTCAGCGATTGTACTAGGAGGGTGAGCATCACATAATGCCAGTTTGTGAGAACAAAGTGTTTTTGCATTGAAGGAAGGCATGAGCAGAGAGGCCTGTCCACTACCTCAGTGTATTGTCTTATAAATACCTAGGTCAATATCTCTATTTTTATGAATTAATGTATTTACATATGTATACACCTACACTTATACCTCTATCCATACCTTTGCTTCCTAGATCGTTCCTCTGTTTCCTTTCACCTTCCTCCTGCCCCACCATCACGCTCACCCTTCTTCTGCCTCTTAGTAATTATTCTGAGCTAGATTGCTGTCGCGCCAACATCCCCGGGATCTCTATGTCCTTGTTGTTATTGATTTTAATTCCCTAGTTAATCCCCTATGGCATTGTTTGCTCATTGCTCCCTTCCCCTGCCTCCTCCTCCTCACCCCCACCCCCCCAGGGAGCACTCAATTTTTAATGAAAGTTATTAATAAAATTGGAGACTTGTGACCACACCATAAATGGGGCTATATTTGAGTCAAAATATTTCACATGGAAAATAATATTGTAAAATATTTATCAGATTTCCACTTCCAGAAAGATGAAGTAAATGCACTGGTTCCCTACTCCTCCTGCTGAAAGAACAGCTGAACATCTGGACATGACCTATAAAACAAACCAAGCCTTCAAACTGGTTCCTCCTGGCCTGTCACGACAAAGGAAGCAACACTGAGGTGGAACCAAATCTGTGGGTATACCAGAACCATAAGTAGAACGGGGGAAATCACAGGTCCATGTAAAGGGCAGCGTGCACTGAAGAGCAAGTCTCCTGACTGGCAGAGTCGGCAACAGCAATACTCCGCTCAAGGATGGCGGCGCCTGCACGGCTCTGGATGTGTGTGGCTCTCCACAGTCATGACAATAAGCCAACCCCCTACATGAGGCCCCTGAAGGGGCTCACTATGCCTCATGTGCGTGTGCGTGTGTGTGTGTGCGTGTGCGTGTGCGTGTGTGTGTGTATGTGTGTGTGTGTCTCTCTCTCTCTCATCCTGGGGCTTCAACCCACAATTTTTCCCATTCCAGGTATCTTTCAGACATACCCCCATCTACAAGGTTGGGTCGGTCCT